CTCTTTACCCTTTGCTGACCCCCGCTGGTCCCTGGATCTCTCCTGAATCTGTTCCAATGCAATCAACCTTTCCTTTGCAGAATCAATAGTTTTCTTGGAGTACCAAACGGGGTGATTTCTTTCTTTCTTTCTTTCTTTCTTTCTTTCTTTCTTTCTTTCTTTCTTTCTTTCTGTAAACCACATAAATCAAACCCGCCGATTCCCCAATAGGCTCCCTATGTCAGCAACTAATTCAGTGGACTCCAGCAAACTACGAGCCCTGACCTTGCTTTTAGGGTGCGGACAAAATCCCGCGTGTCTCTTCATGTTACTCAGCCGACTCGTTCCATCTACTTTGTATGAGTACTTCTATTACCCTAACAGCTGCATCATGTTTATCTGAGCTATCCTCAGAGAGCGCCTTGATCTTTTCTTAAAGGTTAGGCTATCTTTTCTAGTGAAAACCTTCTTATCTCCCTTTCAAATGGTAGGGCACTCTCTCTTTTTTAACTATTACTTAGCATTTCCATGGCATTTTTTTTTCTCTTTAAGAAGTCCGCCATTTAAATCGCCAATCTGAAAAGTATCACAAAGGCTGACTTTTTATTATCTTCCATGCAGATTTCTTTTCTGCCATGTTCCTAACATAAATTCATCCGAACCTTCAACCCCTGCTTTTTTAAAGAAAGTTTCTGAGATTTTTCTTCCCTAGAAAAAAAAAAGAGCCACTTTGTAGAATTTTCTGTCAATACTCTCCACCATTTTATTTCATTTTGGTTGACAACATTTGCTCTGGAAATAATCCATATGAACATCAATCACAAATGAACATCTTTGTCCACCCCACCCCCCAAAATATCTTATCTGTGATGTTCAGATTTCTAGAGGTATTGTATTTTAAAATATTATCTCAGCCATGGTTCATTTTTTGTTCTGTTTTTTAAAGAATTACTCCTTTTGCATATTTACCTACCTTTAAGACTTCATAACTGGAAAGATAACTAGAAGCGATGGACCACTGTTTAAATATCACTGTGTTGTTTTGCTATTCCAGTGTGGTTTTGTGTGATTGTCATACCACTGCATTGTCCCTGTATAGGGAAGTTTTTAATGTTTTAAACATTAAAAAAAAAATATTTGTTGGAAGCCGTCCAGAGTGGCCGGGGCAACCCATTCAGATGGGTGGGGTACAAATAATAAAATTGTTATTATTATTATTATTATTCCCACAATACCATTTGCACTTTTGGATGTTAGATTCAGGGTGCTGCAGTTGAAACAAAATGGCGGTCAGGCTGCCAAGGTAGCTGAAACTTGCAGGGGCAGCAAAACAGAAACTTTAAAAAGCTGAAGGGGGCGAGTCATGCTACTACCACCACCACCAGTAAGCCACACCCCTGAGAAACTGACAGAAAATTTCTCCTCCTCTCAGAGGAAAAAGATGATAACATTCTCTCCACACACACCCAGCCTGATTTTTATTCCACAAAAATATGGTGTAGGATCTTGAGAGGCCATTTGTGCACGATACTACATACAGTTTCAGGACAAGTTAAAAGACGTTTACTTGCTATTTAATCCTCACCCTGGCCCTGTAAAATAAGAAAGAGGTGCTAGCTATAAGCACTTTGTGGATTTCCTAAATAGAAACCCTGAAACCAAGTCTCCAGGAAATTGCATATCTGGTGACTGCAGTTGTACATGTGGCTCCCTGCATGTACCAAAATCCAGGTACATGCAATGAACCAGACATGTGTGCAATTGTCCCCCATTAGGATCTACATGCGGTTTTTATGTTTTTCATACACAGATGTTTCTCGTACACAGATAATTCTTCAGATGGACTCCATCGCGAGGAAGGTCAGTATAGAAACCTAATAAATAAATGCATATTTGAAGCTGCCGCATTGATACGGACATTAACAAAAGCATGAGGAAACCTTTGCTGACTCAGAGCAAAGGTCCGTAGAGATTGGCTGGGATGGCTGCCACAGGAACCAGCCAAATACCTCTAGAAAACCCAGAAGTAAGGCATGAGGGCAACAGCCTTCTGCCGCTTAACCCCAGTGACTGGTTTTCAGAGGCATGTTGCCTCTGATTCTGGAGGAAGTACAGTAATTCTGACTAAAAGCCATTGAGAGACTTCTCTCCATGAATTTGTCCAATCCCCTTTTAGAGTTGTCTATGCTAGTGGCCCACAAAGGAGCAGCAAATTCCATAAATTCAGTTCTGCATTGCGTGAAGAAATACTTCACAGCTAAACAGGAAATGAGTTTGGCTTTCGAACGCCATCTCTGTTGGACCACAGAAGCTGCTGGGCTTTATAAAGGGTGTATTGGAGAGACAAATGTCCACTTAAGGACAATAAACAGGGATTGAAAGACAACTCGAGTCTCTAGGTCCGTTGGTTACTGAACCACACCAGGTCTACCCAACTTGCCACTCAGATGTTCTGCTCAACCTCTCCGTATCCTACCTTGCGCGTCTGCTCTTGACTTCAGTGCGTACAGAAAGTAAGGACTGCTTTTCAAGATGTTGGCTACCCAGACCTGATATATAATATACTCACATATTGAAGGGGCATGGAAGTCATCTAATCCCAAATGATGCACCACCCAGCCGAAATGGTCCATCTAGCAGCATTTGCTCGTATTGATCCTTTATTTTGCTTGTCTCTCCTCTGCCTCCCTGCCCTTCGATCCCCTTCCTCCACTGTCAAGTCACAGACTGCTAGTTGCTTGGGGCAACTAGATGACCCTCACCATGCAACACTGATGCCGCTATAGAAATAAGCAAAGGGATTCAGCGCTGTGGATTCGCTCACATCTGGATGAAACAATTTGCAAGACCAAAGACATTCACCCTATAAGCATCACAATATATTAATAATCCCGAGCAGTCATTGCCACTTGTAGCCCATGCTCCAGAAGCATTAATTGTATGGGTATAAGAGTTCCACGTATTGAGGCAAATAGCAGATATTTCCTGTTCTTCAATTTTTTGGTTTTGAAGGATCTCTCTCTCTACCCCCCCCCCTCCCCAGTTCTGGCAGACCTCCAGTCGCTGTGCTCTTAACTATCATAACTTTTATGATGGTGCTTACCCAACCACACAGCTCAATTGAATTTGGTAGATGGAGCCTGGATGTTCGAGAATTTGATTCCTCTCCCCCGCTTTGGAACATTCTTTGTTCACATATCAATCATATTTCCTACACATTTTGAACTTCCACTATTTTAAAATATGTGTGTTCAACTCCCGCACATCTTCAGAAGTTTGTTCAGCCTCTCACAGGTGAACAATAAACCTAGAGAGGAACTCTTAAGGAATAACAATGAGCATGACTCTGAAGCAAAAACCAAAAACAATTCCACTCGTTATTCTAATACATGTATAAAAGAGGCTGAATATTTCTCATTCTACTAATGTTCACAGGACATCTGGGCAAACTACATGTTACATGCATATACATGTAATGAACCCCCAAGTATTTTTTTAATATAAAAAGCATCTCCAAGACACTGCGTTGTTGAGCATGAGCACGTGTTGGGGTCCTACTTCTCCTTTTCTGATGGCTATTTTCCACTCAATTCTCTACCCACCATTTCCCAATTTAAAATCACTCCCTGACTGCTTTTCCCCTTACAAACATTCCAGATGTACTCTCATCAACTGGCAGGAATGCACCTTGACTGAAATAATTCCAGATTTCTCTTGAAATTCCAAAATGATCAGTTGCCCCATCACTGATACTCAAATACCATTCAATTACTTATCCTGATTTCTTTTATTAAAATAATAATAACCTCAGACTCTCCATCTCAAAAAATACAAAACAGATCCATGGGCATTGTTAGTTAAGGTTCTTAAGGAAAAGTGTGTTGGAGAGATTTCAGTTTGCTTTAAAGTTTTCTTGTTGCTGTTGTAGGGTCTTAAGATCTACTTTGTAGATAATATTGCATATGTGTGTGAGACAAAAAGAAAATTACTTGCATGCTATCGTTCATCACAGTGTAAAATTTCAGGAACTTTACCCAAGTGAGAAAACTTTGAAGTGACAATCACACATTATGTGTCGTTTTAAAATATAATACAGATTATGTCGGCAACTACACAAGTTTTATGCTCAAGGAGAAGAAGCGGATTATGATTTGAATAGACAGAACTGGCCAAAACAAGCCCATGTTGATTTCTCCACAGATAAGGGTGAGACTTACTATATTTAGCTGTAACACCATAAAAAAAACACATTCTCAACTCTTCTTTCAGCCAACTGTGAATAGTCCACGCTCATCCTCTTAGCCACTGCCTCGCAGAATAGAATCTGTGCATTTTTAGATAATTCCAGCTTTGCCTCACTCTGCCCTCCCCCCCCCAAAAAAAATGTCGATCTTTTTTGGATCACCTTTTCACCCTCTCCTTCACTGACTCAGGAGGAGACTGCCTTATTCCCAAGCCAAACCTCATCCTGAACTTCTACACAAGTCGCAGTGACACACATTGCTTCCTGCCAGAGCCACTGAAACGTTTGGCTTTCTGATGCATTTTATCTGTGGGGTGTTTTTTTGCCAACCTCGGTGCCAGGAAATCTCCAAAGCCCGGGAACTTTAGACATGCCTCCTTGTTTTGTAAGGCAGCAAACTGCAGTCAGCAAAAGGGAAGCCCTTTCCTCACATTCTCCTGCTGCCTCTTCTCACCGTTCAGTCCTGGGAATATTTCAGCTGCAATGCCAGCCAGCCAGCCAGCCAGCCGCTCTCCTTCCAGCCTGAACTTTGTCCAAAAAGAAGCAAATCCTTCTTCTCAGCCAAGACCACCCGATGGGCAAAACCGACCCATTAGCTTAAGAATGGGCAAGAGGAAGGGGAGTGACAGCAAGACGCGAACCCAGGAAAAAAAACCCCTCCCCTTCAGAACAGTCCAAAATCAGCCCAGAGGCCATTCATAAACTACTACAGCCAGAGAGAAATCACGAAGGGATGGATGGATGTGGAGAGGAGGGAGGGAGGGAGGTTGACACTTACCCCAGTTCTCACACTGCCTCTTCTGCCTCTCTCCTTTCGCCGGCTCTTCAGTTTAGGGATTTCCAGCCTCTTTTGGCCAGAGCTGGTCTTCTCAGTCCCTTAAGGTCTTTGGTGCCAGGAGTTTCTTTGAAAGATCTTTATTCTTTCATTTCCTCCCCCTCAAATAGAGAAAACGAGAGAGAGACGAGGATCAGATCTGGAGATTTCACGGCTGCGAAACCCAGGTAAAAAATAAAAAAATAAAAATCATAGCATCCCTTCTCCACAAGCCGAGTGATTTCCCCAGCACTTTGAGGGCTCGGCGATCTAGATAGTCTGGCAGCGTTGCTCTCCCGCTCGCTCGCTTCCTCTCTCTTTCTCCTCGCCGCCTCTCCAGTGCTCTTTTCTCGCCTTTTTTTCAGATTTGGATGATATTGGGAAATAGGTGGAAAGACCACCTCTGGTTGGTGATGCTCTCCCGACTGCGATTTCTCCGCCAATGCCTTCCCGGGTCCCTCTCGCTCGCCGCCTCTGAGTGGCTGTGCGCGCCTCTTTGCCTTCCTCTCAGTCTGCGATGAGTGTATTTGTGTGTGCGCGCGTGCGAGAGAGAGCGCGCCTGTGTCTCGCACACACAGAGCGCCTCGCTGCATCTTGGCGAAAAGGTTCGTTTAGTATGTCCCCAGGCTTAAAGCACCCTTTGCTGCCGGGAGGCCAGTTAAAACGCACAAACGCGCGCGCACAAACCACGTATAAAAAGTCTGCTGAATTGAATCCAGCTGATGAACCCATCCACACCTACGCAAAAGCAAACCCCATTGAGTTCGATGGGGGTTTGCACAGGGTCGAAGCCTTTTTTTGCAGCCCACTTCCAGGGATGACTACTCTGATTCAGAGCCTACTGAATTCAATGGGGATTCTTCATGAATAAGGGTACACGGGACGGGCTGCAGCCTTCTGGCAGCACAGCTCCACATAAATCCTTTCAGTGTGGTTGATTTCTGAGTAAATGCACACCGGATTGCAACTTTGCAGACCATGGGTATTTACTTGGAAACAAATCCCGGCGGACTCAATGGGGCTTCATCAAAACTTGGTGTGAATGGGTTTCCAGCTGCTGAGTCTGAATTTTGAACGGAAATTTGTGTAATTTGCCGATTATATGCTCATCATTTAACTGATATTTTTGTCTTTTGCCTTTTGCCTTTTTTTCTTAGATGAACAGTAGAACCAAAACACGCCCCCTGCCTCTTATGGTAAGCATGCAGAAGTCACACAGACAGGGTTTGACCTTATGTAGACTCTGGTGTGCCCAAACCCATAGATTTCTGCTCAGATCAGGGGCTGTGGGGCGGTGCCATTAAACCTGCTGGAATCCGTTGGCTTAAGCATACCTGCCTTGGCTAGTGTTGCCTTCAAGAGGGGGGAAAAAGAGCAACTTGCTTGGACCCAGCCTGGCATAGCTCAGTTGGTTAGAGCGTGGTGCTGACAAGGACAAGGAGGCAGGTTCGATCTCCGTATGGGACAGTTTCATATTTACGCATTGCAGGAGGTTGAACTGCATGATCCTCTGTATGTCTCCCAACTCTAAGTTTCTACAAGGCAGAGAATGCAACTTTCCAGCAGTCTTCTATGACAGGATAGAAAAATAGGCTCTCTTTAAATTAGCCCCTTGATGACTGCCAGATGACATGTTTATTTAGCATTCATCCCAACTGGTTTGCATGAAGCAAATGTTATCCCACGCCTATTTGCAAAATAAAATAAAATAAAATCTGGTTTTGGGGAGGCGGATGGGAGGAGCAGGTTCATTGCTCAAGCGCTCCAAATCAGCATTAAATGTGGAACTTGAATTTGCTGGTATGTGGCTGAATCCCATCCCCAAAGAGTGACAGTTGCTTTTGCACCAGAACAGAGCATTCATCTGGCTGTAATCCCTCTTAGGCCACCTGCTCACTAATAGATGTTCCAACTGATTTGCAACCAGGAATGCGTCTAAGGGAGAAATCGGGAACCTGCAGCCTACTTCTTATCTGCCTTTAAATCACACGCAGTATCAAAGTCACAGGGCACCTCGGTACAAACATGGTCTTCACCGATATTCGAGCGCACAAAAACTCCGGGAACGGACATTTTAAAGCAAGAAATTTCAAGTTATAATAGTAACCAATTAGCTGCCCAATTACGAGTTTGCATGGCACTATTGTGTCCAATCCACTCCCCGAAGACTGGGCGCTGTTTGCGTAAGTCAAAGTTGGGACCAATGCCCTGGAAGTGGATTGGCTTTACAAAGACGACTTGGGGAAAACTCGTGGAGGACATGGGTAACCACAGTTTGTCTTGCTCTGCCTCCATGGTTGGAGACAGTAATGCTTCTGAATACCAGTTGCTGGAGACCTTAGGAGAGGAGAGGGCTCCTCTTCTCTGGTCATGCTTGCAGGCCTCCCATAGTGACAACAGGATGCTGGACTAGATAGGCAATTGGCCGGATCAAAAAGATAGTTGTACATTTTTATATTCTTATCTTCTTTCTTCTTCTTCTTTGGTGATCACTCGTAGCCGAGTAAGATTGTCTTCCATGAACACGGTCTTAACAATGGGTTGGTAAGTGACTGTGGAGTCCAATTCTGGATCCACACATCCTTTCACAGTGGAGACATAAATTTCTGGGCAGAAGTTGATCACGGTGAGGGTTTGCCAAACATGCCTTCCTCTTATCACATTTCTTCCTTTCGTCCTGAATTCAAGCGTCTTCAGAGTTTATGACACCTTTGGTGAAGGTTGTTCTCCAATTGCAGCACTCACAAACCCGTGTTTCCCAGTTTTCAGTGTTTATACTACATTTTTTAAGATTTGCCTTGAGAAAGTGTTTAAACCTCTTTTGTTGACCACCAGCATTACGCTTTCCATTTTTAAGTTCAGAATAGTTGCTTTGGAAGATGATAATCAGGCACCCAAACAATATGACCAGTCCAACAAAGTTGATGTTGAAGAATCATTGCTTTGGCACTGGTGATCTTTGCTTCTTCCAGTACACTGGCATTAGTTCACATGTCTTCCCAAGTAATGTGTAAGATTTTTCAGAGACACTGTTGATGGAATCTTTCAAGGAGTTGGAGATGGCATTTATAAGTGGTCCGTGCTTCACAGGCATACAGTAAGGTTGGTGGTACAATAGCTTTGTAAACAAACATTTTGGTTTCTCTGCAAATGTCCCAGTCCTCAAACACTCTGCACTTCAATCAGGAGAAAGCTGCACTCACAGAGCTCAGGTGATGCTGGATTTTGGCGACAATGTTCTTATAGAAAGTGTGGGGCACCACTTGCTTTGATGCAACATCCTCTAGCCTCCCCACCCAAAGTCAATAAATCAGAATGATTGCTCACAAAATAGCCAGTGTCGTCTAATCTCCCTGCAAACAAATCAGGATGGATGTGTAATAAACAGGCCACCTGGAAGAACATGCAAAAGGTCCCATATTCAATACCTGGCATCTCCAGATAGGGATGGGAAGGTGTCCAACCTTAAACCCTGGAGTGTTACTGCAAGTTAATACTGAGGTGGATGGACTGACTTTGTGTAAGACTATGCTCCTATCCAGCTGTCTGGATGGTCTCTGCCAAATGTTGCTCTGTGCCTTAGTTTCTCCTTATTTTCCAACTGAATTCATGGTGTTCTTAAAAAAATAAAAAAAGCAGCGGACACATCAGTAAGAGCCAAAAGCCCAGCCAGATCAGTGCTAATTGGGTTTTTTAATAGTACTCCCCTTAAAAATAAAAAACAACCTAAAGCACATTGTTTTGCCTGAGAGAGCATCTGTTTTCAAGGCTCCTTCTTTCCCCTCTCTTTTCCTGGCTCCTAACAATATCTGCCGCTGTCTACAAGCACCCCAGGTATACATTTCCATCCCATCCACCCTCTCCCATTTTCCCTGCTTGAGCCAAAGCTGGCAGCTGGGGAAGGGAGGAGAGGGATAGGAGGATCCTTTTTAAGCCAGAGATGCCGCCAGCCTGCGCCTGAATTTTTCTATCACAATATCCGTAATTGGAGGGAGAGAAAGAGGGAGAGAGAAAATAACACAGGCAGCAAATCCATCTGGATGGCAGCTTAACGTGCCATTGTTTTGTGACAACCCTCCTTATCTAACTCCCCTCCTCTTTACCTTTACTTATCCTTTCCCTAGCCCCCTGGATTCATCAGATTTTAATTGAACTCGAGTGAAAATGAATTCTATCAGCTCCTCGGCAAATCTGACTCCTCTCTCTTTCTGTCTCCTTTCTATATTTAACTGAAACATAATCCTCCCTAAGGCCCGGTGTTTGTTCCCTTGGAAAAGGCAGGATTCTCACTCAAGCCTGGAGACTCCTTCGTAGTACCATAGGGCAGATGCTTTGTACACGTTATTCCTGTTTAATCTGCACCCAACACACTCCCGCCGCTGGTTTGGGAAGTTGTAAAGGTAAAGGGACCCCTGACCACTAGGTCCAGTCGTGGCCGACTCTGGGGTTGCGGCGCTCATCTCGCTTTATTGGCCGAGGGAGGTGGCGTACAGCTTCCGGGTCATGTGGACAGCATGACTAAGCCGCTTCTGGCGAACCAGAGCAGCGCATGGAAACGCCGTTTACCTTCCCACCGGAGTGGTACCTATTTATCTACTTGCACTTTGACGTGCTTTCGAACTGCTAGGTTGGCAGGAGCAGGGACCAAAGAACAGGAGCTCACCCCGTCGCGGGGATTTGAACCACCGACCTTCTGATCAGCAAGTCCTAGGCTCTGTGGTTTAACCCACAGCGCCACCTGCGTCTGATTGGGAAGTTGTACTTGCACAGTATTTAGCCACAATCCATATCTACCCTGTTGTTTCTTAGGAAATGCTGCATTTTGATGCACTTCCTTTCCAACCTGCTTCGATCTGAATTGAGAAGAAGAACGACCCAACTGCATTTTAAGCCAGTGATGCGCACACAGCCTGAGACTCAAGAATGCATCAGATATCTATTTCAGCTGCATTTCTGCTTCCCCTTGATGTTTTGCTGGGTTTAATTGGAACAGGCTGAGTCATATGCAACTACCCTAGCCTATAACTCCAAGCTCTGTGCTTTATCTTGCAGCTTTCCTGTTAATTAAAATTAGGCTTACCCCCTCTGTTCTGTATTGCCTTCTTACCCGTGCCTCTCTCCAGATCGCTCATTTTCAATATATAGGTATTTAATAGCAGCCTTGAGGGACTAGGATGATTTTAAACCTCACACTTTGCCATCGCACCAGGAGGAGGCCCAAGACGACAGAAATGTGGGTAAACAGGTTATATTTATTAAAAGATAACAACTGGAGGAGCTGCCAGTTAATGTAACCAGAACAAATAGCCCAGTCAAACAAGTCTGGGCAGGTTGAATTGCAATAACTGGGGTGATCTAATCATTCCCATTTCCTGATCCAGCTTCAAGCCAGGTCCAGCCTCACCAAAAGGCAAGGTGAGACAACTGCCTCAGGTGGCAGGTTCCATTGGGGCAGCAGGTCCCAATGTCAATCTTTCTCCCCCCCCCCCTTGTTCCTGATGTAGATCCTCCCTCAAATCTTCTTCCCTG